TCCTTGTTGTCGTGAATGATGCAGAATAACCTCCTCGGCCTCGAAATGTTGTTTGAAATATAAAAGCCTCGGCTAACGCCTCGGCTTTTATCTTTCAAACAACATTTCTCGACCTTAGAGGTTTGTTACAACGCACTTTGAAAAATTACGCACTTTGAAAAATTTTTTCAAAGTGCGTTAATTTTTGGGACCAGGTTAACGCACTTTGAAAAATTTTTTCATAGTGCGTTGAATTTGGGACCAAATCAACGCACTTTGAAAATTTTTTTCAAAGTGCGTTAAGACTGTACATCATAATTTTACACCATGTAAACATTTAACGCACTTTGAAAAAAATTTCATGAAACAAAAGGAATTAGACATATATTTTAGAAATAGACAACAGTATTATCCCCTCGCAACGTATGATGGGATATAGTGATGAACTTTCAAGAATCGCCATATTTTGAAATAATCATAAATATGATAACATGTATCTAATATTTTTTTCTCATGTCTTACGCAAATTAATAAAGCATATATAAATTAATAAAATACAATTATTTAGTTTTAAATAGCTTTAAAATTGGTGAAAAATAAGCATTTTTTTTCGTTTTTTTTATATAAAAATTTTTCCCCCCCCCCCCCCCGTGAAACACAAAAAGCTTTGACATAAATTTGTAAAATGACAGTCCATATTACCTGTAAATAAGGAATTTTTGTTTCACGGGGGGGGGGAGATGTTTTAAAAATATTTTCAGTTTTCCGTTGATTTCTATATTGAAAAACACAAGTTTTGCCAAAATTATAGAGTTATCTCTCTTTGGTATCCCAAATAAGTAAAGTTTTATGAAAATTCATATGAATATCTATAAAAATTTTGAGAATCATTCCAATACGTTAACTTTTGAGAATTGACTTAGAGATAGGCGGAAGAATAATACTATCCTTCGTAGTTCTTTACGCCCTTGAATCTTGACCTTTTGACCCCAAATTCAAAAGGGGTCTTCCTTAGGCCACAAAGATTCTGTTATGTTAAATTTCATTGCAAAAGCTCAAAGGGTTGTCGAGATATCGTGTGGAAACGAAAGCGTTACAGAAAGACGGATGGACGGACAGCTAGACGGACGGACGGACAGATAGACCCAAATTAATGTCCCCCACTTTTCAAGCGGGGGGCAAAAAGTATCAAATCAGGTTCAAATGATAATTTATCATACCTGAGATTTGTAGGAATATTGACTAAGCCATGCAGAATTTTTTTTCAAAGTGCGTTAATATGGTCGATATTAACGCACTTTGAAAAAAAAAATTTTTTTTCAAAGTGCGTTAACATGGTCCCAAAAATTAACGCACTTTGAAAAAATTTTTCAAAGTGCGTAATTTTTTCAAAGTGCGTTGCCACAGAGGTTATTCTGCAACATTCACGAAAACGCGGACTTTATTTCTTAGATAATTTCATTGATCGCATTTCAAAGAAAAACAGTCGTAAAAAGAATATATCTTAGTGTGCATGTGCTTTTGCGAAATTAACAATTATACATTTAATGATCTTATTTGTGATAACCTTATTTCGTTCTGCTGAGTTGACATTATTCGTTTGACAGTCTAAACATTGTTTTGAAGTACTTAAGTTAAGAAATGAGGAATCATTTTTAAACATCTATTGAGATATAAATACTGGTTGGTCGCAAGATCAAATTCCATATGGGACTGAATGATATATTTGATCTTATTCCAATCCGTATTTATAGGCAGATAGATGGTTTAAATGATACCTCATTAAATTATATTTATATTTGTGACTTGTTCATATTATATATTTGTCTGATTATGACTTTTAAGGCGTAAAATGTTTTATTTTTTAAACTCTTTAAATGCACGTTTGAAACCAATTGATTACGCTTCGATACTTTATGACGTCACTTTTGCAAATGAAAATATTGCGATACTAAGTCAATGAAATATATGAAGATAACAAACAGTATTTAAGATCAAAAGTAAAAGAAAATAAACAAAATAGGAGCCGAACAAACACGGACCTCCGAAACATCAGAGGTGGGATCAGGTGCCGTGGAGGAATGACCATCCCCTACTGACCGGGATCATTCTAAATTAAGCCTTCCCTTGAGCATCTTATTTTAAATTACAATTAATATATTGAATATAATATTTTATATTTATATATAATATAATACATGTAGGTGAAGAAAACAAACAGTGAATAATGTTGTCAAGACATTTTGAGAGATTGTTAAAAGTCCTGTAACTGCAAATTATTTGTCAATAGGTGTTTCTGTTTAAAAATTGATCGTACTGAAAACTTTTCATGACACCTGATCCCACCTCTGATTTTAAAAGGTTTGTGTTTGCTTTTCTTCGATTTTGTTGTGTTTAATTGTGATCGGTTGGCAGGGGATGATCACTCCTTCATAGAACCTGATCCCACATGTTTTGGCGGTACGTGTTTGCTCTGCTCCAGTTTTATATCGTTAAAAAGACTTTTGACTTTTAATTCTGTTCGTTATCTCTCTCTATTCCATCGAATATGTTTTGTTTACATTTGTTCTTAACATACCCAACTACAGATCTCGAAAATTTATGTTTATTATTTTCCTTTCGTTTTTCCTTTCCTTTTATCATCTTATACCGTTGTTTTCTCCTGAACACAATGGCGCTGGATTTGTGTTGCTAAAATTTACAATTTAAACTTCAATGTTGCTTTTGCTTTATAAATCTATATGGTTAAACGTCATCGACATCTCGCGAAACTACTGCGCAAATGTAAAACATCAAAGCTAAATATTTTTTAAGTGAAAGTTAGGTTTCATGTAGTCCAATCAGTCAATCTATTTCAGAATATCTTTGACATATCTTTGAAAAAAAAGAAAGATCTTTGCTGCCAATTTACATTTGTATAGTAACAATTTATTTTTTTTTTACTTTACAGTAAAATAACACTTGTGAATTCTCTGAATTCCAAAATTATTATTTTTTACTTTAAAATTGTGAATAAATTTCCGACTTGCACTGTTGAACATGTAAATTATTTACACACTGATGTCCACGGATTTTTTTCCGGCGTTTTCCCCGAACATGAGGAAGAGCACATGGCGGGTGTGACCGGTCGAATGGGGATGCTCACTCCTCCATGGCACCTGATCCCACCTCTGATGTTTTAGAGGTCTGTGTTTCCTCCGCTACTATTTTGTAAAGTTTAACATCTGTTTATTCTGTTAAATGGACTTTTGAGCTCAAATACTACTCATTATCTCCACATATTTCACACAACTTTTTATGGTCACAATCCTTTTTCTTGAAGATGTTTAAATTGTTGATTTATTAATGCTGTACACAAAAGAAATAGAGATTATTATTGTACTTAATTTTTCCTATGAAACTTTCTTTTAATCTTCACTTAATTGACTAACGTAACTTATTCCGGCTGATATATTGGGGAGCATTAATTTGGAATAGAAATTACTTTTTGCAAGTTTTTCTTTCGGTGTATATTAATCACAAGGAAGCAGCAGTGCTTATGTAAACGGTGAAGAAAATGTACGATCTCAAAAACCCTATAAACAATACAAATATGTTAAAAGGGTATAAATCATGGACCTCTGAAAATTCCAAAGCTAGGATCAGGTGCCTAAAAGGGGGAACAACCCCCTGTTGACCAATCACATCCGGGTGAAACTATGCATTGATCAGGTAGACATTCCGTAGTCAAATCTAATATTGCCTAACAATTGGTAGGACACAATTCGGCCAAAATACAAGCAAGTGATAGGTTATATTTAAGGAATGACTCTAATTCTTGGCCAAATTATCGAGTATAATATGGTTTGGGTCAGTTTACGCTTTTTTATAATCCGCTTCGCGGATTATAAAGCGTAAACTGACCCAAACCATATTATACTCGATAATTTGGCCAAGAATTAGAGTCATTCCTTATAATTTAATTTTAAAATAATTATTCAACTGGGGATGTAAAATTGTGTTGTTTTTATGAGTTCAAATTTACCGCGCAATAATACAACCGTAGTAACGGAAGTGATGGGAAGCGAGGGGAGGTAAAAACTGATTCATAGATCTAGCAGCCATGATGCTTGTTTACATGAGGTAAGATCGAGTAACTGTTTGAAATTAAAGGTACATTCATTAAATCTGGAATTTTCCATGAATCCCAAGGACTGAAAATGAGGGAATTGATGGATACAGATGATTATGCTGGTTGTCAAGGGGGTGTGTCCCCATACCAAACCAGATTATACAAAATGTTATGCGTTCCTTTTTGGAAATCAACCAATGAGAGGCAAGAATACAAGCAAAATTAAATTATTTGCTTAAAAGGTTATAATGACAACCATTTGATTTACGAAATGCTGACTCAGCAAGGGATGGCAGATTCATTTGACCTTCAAATTTGCTCATTTGAACCTCGAGTCTCCTGTTTATTATGTACATTAAAACCGCAAAATAGTGAGTGCTGACTAGTATATCCAGTTTGTCAAAGGTGGGGTGTCGGACAAAGGAAGTAAAACGTGAGAGAAATATCGCTAAAAAGGGAAGTGAATTGTTATATGTAACTATTGACCATTGTTGGAAACCTTAGTGTTTTCACAAACAGGATGCAGAGGTGTGCATCTGTTGAGGATCGAGCATCTTATACAACAGGCTTAAAGAGATCAAATCAGATAACGTTAACTTCTTTGAAGGTACATTGTACACATAGGTATGTTTTCTAATTAAATCTTATTTATCTAATAATATTTATAGAATATAGATCAATAGTAGATTTTTACACATTTTAGACATATATAACTTGTATTAAACTTAATTACATCTTGTTTAATGTTTAATTGTTTCTCCATTCTTTTGTACTCATATTTTGACATTTGTTGCTAAATATATTACGTTTTTTACTAAATTTTTTAAACTTTTTGAAATTTTATCTTTAATTACCTGAAATTTCCTGTTAATAACGAATAACATAAGAAATATTAATATTTTCTTAACAGATTTTCAACGGAATCTATTTTAACCCACCAGTATCTGAAACATGCGGATCCGAGAATCAGGGAAAAGGAAGGTATAAAAATCTTGTTATTTAACGATCTTCAAGCGTGTAGGTTTTTAGTGACCTCGAGTATTTTTTTGTACTAGTATACAAAATCAGAAATCACAATCGTCGATTTAATGACGTACTTATCGTTGCATTGGCCTTTTATATGTGATTATCTGAGATAAAAGCTGAAGAAAGAAATAATCGCAAGACTACGAAAGCCCAGAAGGCTCATTCGAGGTTCGAGATTCGAAATACGAGATTCGAAATTCGAGATTCGAAATTCGAGTTTCGAGATTCAAGATCTAAAATAACCAATCAAAAGGCGGTTTGAGATTCAATTACTCCCCTTTATTATTTTTTACTATCAAGAAATTGTTGAGTATTTTAATACCGAGGAGGTCAATTGATTAAATTACAACGCAAGAAAAAGTGGTATATATTATCAAAACGAAATTTTAAGAAATATTAGATTTTCTTTTACAAGATATGCTTAATAAATTTATAATAGCTTCTTAAATATCATAAGACATTAATATAAAGAATTATATATATTTCGTGTTATCTACTTTGGATACAGGGTTGTTGACATAATAGTAAACTTAAAATAAATTAACACACGTAATTTTTTTACTGTTGAAAATGTTCATCGAAAGGTCGGTTGCTGCCAAGGCCCCCCCCCCCCGCCCCACGTTTTGGTACAGTGGTGCAGAATAGTCAAAGAAGTTTAAGTAGTAGTGTATTAAAAGAAATTAGGTACTAAATGAAGGTACTAAATGAAGTTCGCCCCCCCCCCCACCCCCTTTACGCCCCGAAATAGGATTTTCGGGTTTAGACAAATTTTTGTCAGTTTTTATTTTCAGGTTTGCAATAATATTTTTGTCTGCCCCCCTCCCCCTCCCCAACCCCACTTTCAAAATCGTTGCTTCGTCTCTGTAATAATTAGTACTACGGGTTTCAAGGTGGATAGTGTTTGTGACACGGTATTAGAAAGTGGCCAGTGACCAAGTTTATGAAACCAATAGACAGCCCCTTAAATACGGATGGCTGAAACATGCATACTTAATAAAGATAATGACCCATTCGGAATAATAAATTTAAAAAAAATCATTGTTTATCCCCCTTTCCCTACCCTAACCTCGAAAAATAGGGGTTATCATGGTAATTGGAAGTTATTTTTGAATAGACATAAGCATGAAGTTACTGTTTTCTATAGTATATTATATCGGAAAAATATTACGGGAATGACCAAGTGGGAAGGGGGGGGGGCAAATATGTGGTTATCAACATTCATTGTCAATTTTGCGATGCATAGATGCAATAAATATATATTCGATAAATATTTAAAAGGAAACCGCTCGGGTCTCGCCCGACTTGGTCAAAGACTCAAATATACTAGAAAAACCATAATGCTCATTTCATTGGGTTGGGGGGGGGGGGGGGCAGCCATACATTTTCAGTTTTCAACTACCAAAAATTTCTTGACAACCAAAAACAAAGCAAAAAGAGTCATCAGATGTTTTATTGAGGGGGCACAAGCATATAGTAGTTATGACTTCTATAGTATTTTATATATCGGCAAAATTATAAAATTATTGGGGGGGGGGGCACAAGGTAAAGAATTGTACCCTCATTATTATTTCATATAAATAATAATTTTCTCCCTCATCAATGTTCTTATTTTAAAAAAAATCTACGATAAGACCATATAATATTCTATATACCTATGTATTGTTTTGTTTAATGATGAAAAATAAGAATTTATATATATTTTCTAAAATGTAACCTAAAATTCCTTTTTATTTCGTTTTAATACATATATCTTTTTTTCTTGCATTATCATTTAAGCAAATGACCCATTTGATATGAATATATTCAACGATTTCTTGATAGTAAAACATAATAAAGGGGAGTAATCAAAATTGAACCTGCCTTTTGATTGGTTAATTTGGATCTTGAATCTCGAAACTCGAATTTCGAATCTCGAATTTCGAATCTCGTATTTCGAATCTCGAATCTCGAATGAGCCTTCTGGGCTTTCGTACAAGACAGTACCAGTATCAATACCTCAGAAACAACAGTCTACATCATGCATGATAACTGCGTTTATCCACTTTCTGTGTGTGTGGATGTTCTTTCATGAATTGTTTAGGAGAACTAATCCGCTCTGGAAATGAGAGGAAAAGTTCTTGTTGCAGGGTCATCTCAACCAGTTCGTGCGTATACCGGTAATATATCGTCAGATTTATTGCAGGAACCCACCCCCACCAACTCTGTTCCTATGGGCATGAATTCATATAATTTATTCAATTTCAATACAACGTACGGTACAATGTAAATATGATTTCTATGTTTTCGAAATTTCCAAGTCCTTTTTCTTTACAGGATGCAACTAGGGTGTACGATATTCCTGGAGAGCTTTTTCCAGGGAAGCAAATTATACTAAAAGGGCGTGTTCCATGGGGATCGACATCGTAAGTACATGGGTAATAGAGAGCACGACAGCATTGTTTATATTTTTGTATGATGAGAAAAACGCCATTTTACCTGATGTATTCTTATCATAAGATTGGTTGATTATTAATAATATATTGTTTAACGTCCATCTCGAGAATTGTTCACTCATATGGAGAAGTCAACACTTGCCGATGAAAGCTGCAAATTTTGTCCAATACTCGTCACTTAGGGCCATTGAGCAGGGAGAGTTCGTTTTCGTGCCAGCACCTTCTGTGGCACGGGGCCTTTTTTATATGGTCTCATACGAAGGACAGGTCTTCACATCTCACATTGGGATTCGAACCTGCAACGTAAAGATCAGCTCCTTACTTTGCGACTCTGGAACAAACGCTCTAACCACTGCGCCACGCGGGCGACTATCATAAGATAAAAGAAAGCAAATTTATTACAAGGGTGCACGTCCATGCAAATCTTATTTTGAGCCCTATAGCTTATTACAAACAGGGAGGCAATAGAGACACTATTGAAGTAACGCTAAGGGATCAAATGAAACATATGGAGATGATGAACAGTATTCAAGATCAAATTTACAAGTGCAGAGAACAATATAAAATAGGAGCAGATCAAACACGGACATCCAAAACATCAGAGGTGCGTGGGATCGGGTGCCCCGTAGGATTTTGCATCCCCTGCCAACCACCAAACCTGCCGTGTGCTCCTTGTCATGATAGGGGGGGGGGGACAAAAAACGTTGACAATTCAGTGTCTTAACAATTGGTTAACAATTAGTATGAGTATGAAAAGCGTCAGTCAGCATTTACGTTTGTTAAGTTGTTTTGCCAGAAAGGTCATTGTATTGACCATAAAAAGGACAATTAAATAAATTTGAAGTTCTAATTATGGTCAAGAAACTCCATCAGACCCAAACTTAATTTTACGTTTGTTCCTCCCCTGTAGATAAATATACAGTTTGGTTTCACCAGATATATGTAAACTTGTAAAAATTGTATTAAACTATTAAAATACTTTGATCTCTTCTTTTCCTCTTAAAGGTTCTCAATCAATATTTCTTCAACTCCAAAGATGGGCGATGGTGACATTATTCTCCATTTTAATGCCCGCCTCCCTGAAAGAGTTTGTGTGAGAAATGCTTTGATTAATGGCTCCTGGGGCGCAGAAGAAAAGGATCAGCCATTTTTCCCATTCTACGACGGCAGGTCTTTTACTTTTATAATAGAAGTCACTGATGATGCCTTCAGGATTTATGTAAATGGGAGACACTTCGTGAACTTTTCTCATCGTACTGGCTACCGAAAAGGCAACTATCTCATTTTAAGGGAGGGAGCAGAGTATTATGACGTCATATTCCAAGACAAACCGGTAAGTAATAAAACATACTTCAATCTTTACGAACTGAAGGCTTATTACATACTGCATAGAAAGCAGGCTACATATTACTTTGGTATCACAAACACCTATCAAAGTTTGTCACACTGAGGGCTAGCATATTCCAAGTTTTTGAAAAAGAAATACTTATATGTTAAAGATTTTTTTCTTTCAATGAAAAAGCCATCTGATTAGAAGGCACTATCTGCATATCTATTTTTACAACTAGTGTTGGCAAAGAGAACCCGGTTAACCGTCGAACGATGCGAGTATCGGTTAGTAAGACTGCTATTCGGTTACTCGGATAAAAATACATTTTTCATGGTAAATACGTATAAAATGATTTTTATGCTATTTGTTAACGTATATTGACACATTTTCCGTATTTAATTACCGTTAGCTATAGGCTTGCTTCAGAGGTTTACAACTGGGATCGATTTGTTTTGATTAGTTTTCACAGCGTATATACAAAGTAATTGGTGGCTTTGATTACCATGGGGGTACATGTTTTGAAAACCTGAATTATAATTACTCAAGTTGACCTGTGATAATTAGAGGAACTTACTTTCACAAGATGCCGCCGCAAACATCTTAAGCCTGGATATATTCAAAAACAAAAAAACGACTGAATCAAAATCTATCAAATGCAAATTATGTGAATCGGTATTGTCGTATATGGGTGGAACTACAAATATGCTGTATAACCTTAGATTGAAACGTAATTCGGAAACCAGTGATTTGCAGGAAACTCCACAACAGGGTCATGTGTTATTTTTTTTTCTTAAACGAAAACAAAGTGACTGTTTCAAGTGACATTTAAAATCAATACTGTTCGAAGATGTTGTGTTTTTTAAAGTTTGTATTTGTAAATAAACTAAAATTCATATACTTTGCATTTGTGGATTACTTTTACCAATAAGTAAAAGGATGAGGTTAGTAATAAATACGGAAACTTTAGCAAAAATCATCCGAGTAACCGGGTACTCGATCGGAAGATAAAGTGAGTAACCGGTTACTAAAAATCGTCCGATTTGCTAACACTATTTACAACCAAAAGATAACTCAAAATTTCAAAGTTTTGCAATAATTCTCTCTTTTTTCCAGATCATTCCATTCAGTGCAATCATTCACAAAGGAATGAAAATTGGAAAGACTTTAAGAATTCGAGGCATGTGCACAGACCAAGATGGGTATAGTTTCTTTAGAAACTTCAATCCAACTGTATTTCAAACTTAGATTTCTTGAAAAAATATGGTTATTGTTATTTTGCAGATTTGCGATTAATTTCATGGATGGAGGCAGTAATATCTACTTTCACTTTAACGCCCGACCTAGGGAGGCATTAGTCGTAAGGAACTCCAAGTTTGGAGGCTGGGGGAAAGAGGAAAAAGATTGTCCAGCAGGATTTCCATTTAACCCTCTAGAATACTTTGATGCCTCGTTTGTCTGCATGGAAGACAAATTTGCAGTAAGCATCAGAGTTAGCCAACTAATTCACGTGTCATGGATCCCATGCCTGTATCTTTTACAAGAAAGAAATCAGTGCAAATACCAAGTGTATATTGCAGTTAGGAAAACTGATATTGTAGATGCCTATTTACGAGAGGTGTTATTTTTTAAAGGTGCAGAAAAAGAATGGAAAAATATGTTAACTGTTTTTTTAAACATTTTTATTAAGTCTGTACTGTTATAATTGCTGAAACTTCTAAATATCTTAAACCATTAATTCCCAAATGTACCAACTTAGAGTTTCATGAATTGATAGAATAAAAAAGAATTTATAAGCTCCATTTTAATCATTTAAGGTGTATGTGAACGATGGACATTTCATAGATTTTTACCATCGAGGCAATCCCACCAACATCACGGTTCTCAATGTCACTGGTAGTGTTAACATCTTTGACGTGGACTGTTTGGAGCCGGTGGTCTGTATATTGCAAACAAAAATTACACTTATAGAATATAACCCTAATACAACAAAAAATCCTATTTGTTTGTAGTGTTTATAGTCATATAGGTTTCTATAATGTTTTCAGGGAGAAGACTCTATGACTGAGGTGGAATCTGGCTTGGAGAAAGGGGACATCTTTGTTCTCAATGGCATGATGAAAAATGATGGAAAAACGTACGTCCTATTACTATTGATGCCTTTTACATTTACTGTCTGATATTAAGTCATTAGAAGAAGTCGTTTTACAAAATAGCTATTGAGTTCGTTCTGAATCCCTCTGTTTCCTTTTAATAGGTTTGCGATCAACTTCCTGAATGGGTTTTCTGCGGACGGAGACATTGCCCTACATTTTAATCCGCGGAGGAATACGGGAGATGTGGTTCTTAACAGTCGGTTTGGAGGGGCGTGGCAGATTGAGGAGAAGGTCCCCTTACCCTTGGTCTTTTGGTCTAACAGGCCATTTCAAATCAAAATAGAGACAAAGAAACGAAAATTTACGGTACAATAGTATGTTTCTTCAATAAAGACCAAATTAATCGCAATATGTACTTTCATCAATATTCATATTTACATTCAATTAATGAAAAGACGAACTTGAATTTTCGTGTATAAATGAATTCTTATGTTAGTTAAGTCATTATAGACTTAAGATATAAAACTGATCAGTAAATGTGAGATACCATTAATATTAATTTACATGTATATGAAATAGTCCAAAATTTTAACCGCAGATCTCACTAAATGGGGTTCGACTAGCACAGTATAGAATGCGTGACAGTGTCGAGAAAATCCGGGCTATTCAGATTTCCGGTGATGTCTTCATACTAGAGACGCTGCTGATGAAAAGATTGGTAAACTCTCTCTCTCTCTCTCTCTCTCTCTCTCTCTCTCTCTCTCTCTCTCCTTGTGTGTGAATGCAGGTGTAGAATATGTTGTTTTTAAGTGCGTATAACTTTTATTAAAACATATGAAGGAGGATCCGATTTGGGAGCGGTTGCCCGGAGGAATAAGACCAGGAAGTTGGGTTATTCTTCAGGGAACCCCGAAAAAGTACTGGACAGGGTAAGTTAAGTTTGTTTACTTTTCAGAAGTTAAATCAAATAAAAATTTACGATCTAGCAAAGGCTTTGAATTATAATTCTATATACTGTACTTTCGAGATTTGAAAATAATGGATTCTGATCCGAAAACATTTATCATTCCTTGAAAACAAGATTTCTACTTAAAGGATTCAACTGTTTATCTTAACTAGATTTTCTCAACAATTATACATCTAAAACATGTACCGGGTATATTTCAAACTTCCTCTCTGACATATAAGCTGCATTTTAAAAATCCAAAAATATAATGTATATAATGTATAAAAATATAATATTGTGATTTAAGTATTATTATAAGTACATGCTTTTGCCAGATTTGGTATAAATTTTCGGTACGATGACCGGGAGGACGGAGACATTGCTTTTCTCTTCAATCCCCGGAAGAACGACGGACAGGTAGTCAGAAATCACAAACAGTACAACCAGTGGGGACCGGAAGAGAGGAGTACCCCAAACTTCCCATTTGATGCCGGAAACACTTTTGAAATAGTTTTCTTTGTCAGAGAAGACAAGTTTTTGGTAAGTAGCCATCCTTCTATAATACAGAAGGGTGCGTATCCATCTCTTATCTGCAACGCTTTCTTTACCACTCAATAAAATTATTGAAATTAAAGAATGTTAAATGAATGATACTTTCACTGATTTTTTATTACATTATGCTATTGTGACCTCCTATTTCACTTTTTGATCTGACACTTATTTTGGGTCTTCCAGACAAAACAAAACTTTGCAATTATAATTTAGTTAGCTCAGTACTCAAAGTGCAGTTTTACTTTGTGTAGCCATGTTCTAAAGATACAAAAAACAGGCAGCCGAGTTAATGTATGTATGTACTTAGTCAAGTCTCACACATTATTTATACCACAATTTCAGAATATCAGCAATATATATGGCCACTTACCAAAGTCGATTATTTATCTACTGGAATTTAAGGGATTTCTTACATGCAAATTAAGATAAATATATTTTTGTCTTGCAGACATATGTGAACGGCAAATCCTTTATCGAATTTAATCATCGTCTTCCTTTGGAAAGAATCAACTTTCTCTCAATGAAAGGAGACTGCAACTTCTACGAGCCAGAGCTGCTTGTTTAGATCATAGAAGAACAGTGTCACATGTTCAGTGATATACTAGTAGCATAAACATTCTATGTTTTAAAAGCTTTGATCTGTTTATTTTTTTTTAAAAGGTTGATATTTATATATGTCATTGTGCTTCCTTTTTCAATAAGTTAATCAAATACCGTATATCCGGTTTTTTTTTCGCGGTGATCTATTTTTCGCATTTTTTGCGATCATTTTTAATTCGCAAAATATAAAACACGCAGAAATTATGTAAGCTATAATGTGACATAAAAACATTACCATTTTAAACAAAAAAATCTTCAATCGTAAAAAATAACTTACGCAAAATAAAAACTGTACTAATCTACCCCATTTTCGCAAAATTCCGACACGCGAAAAAAAACCGGATATACGGTACTGCTAGATGTTATATTTTTTTTATAAAAGTAATGTGCAATTTTTGCCGTCAATGTTTTAAGAAAGGGATCCAATGCACACCCAGGGGAAAGGAAATTTTATTCGTATAAGAAAAAGTTATAGTGATGGTGCACAAAAGGCTATATGTATGTATAAATTCAGTTGAAATTTTAATTATTCAATTTTTGCTTTAAATAAGAAATGGAAAAAATTAAATGGATTCATATAATGAAACTTCTTATATAAGACGCTCTTTCCCCAATTTTTTTTTTTAATGTACTGTATAGGGGGAAAATAACTCGCGGTGTTAATTTTCGCTATATTCACGGTGTTAATAAATCCGTGAATTCAAGAAACAGTGAATAAATTTTCAATAATCTCCATGTTTTATTTGGAAATTTGAGAAGAGACTACGATGGGTTGACTACGACAGGTTGATATACATGTACATGCAGTATATGGTCGTTTCAGTAATTACGAGTAGTACTCGTCATACAATTATTTTAATTATCACTTAAATTCAAATCGGCAGATAATAACTCGTGTTTGTTCAAAAGCTGTTTTAATAGCCAACGCTACATTTTTCATCAAACAAAACACGTGGGCCATGGGTTTTGATTACCCGTGCGTAACTAATTTCAGCACGTGTATTTGTTACCCATTATCATGCATGTTAGTTTTTATCAACATTTTGGTTTTTAAAAATCATTCAAATAAATATCGAACTTACTGAAGATGTGAAAGATATTATTTCGGCGAACTACATTAACACATTTACTTCCGTCCAGTGGTTTTTTGCCGCGTTGTATTGAAAATCTTGGGTACACATGCACTCATCGTAATAGCATATAGGAAAGTCATTTGACGTTTAGAGTGTAGGACTTTTAATAACTGCACTTGTTTTAATTAATTATTAATCAAATGTATCAATTTTATATAAAACTACTGTGTTGTTCGTGAAATAAAAACAACGCTAAAGAATGTTGTTTACATGTAGCTATGAATGGATTAAAAGAATATAGACAAGGGAGGTATATACGTAACTTTTATTATGTACCAATTCCGCGAATTCAAGAAACCGCGATCGTGCCAGATGAGAGAAAACCGTGAAAATACAACCCGTGAAATTAGTCCCCTATACAGTACTTGACAAATGTGTAGAAATACATTTTCTTCAGTTTTCTTTATTTGTTTTGATGCAACATCATTAAAATGTAACATAGAGAGTATGCCTTTAGGACTTGCTGTGGATGTATTGAAATAAAAATAATCTGCTTTGTTGAAGTTTCTGCTTAATATGGAAGGGTGTTGGTGACACCTGGATACTTTATTTTTTTTTATCCAAACTTTAATCTGTAAATATTCTTTAATTTGTAAATTTTACGCTTTAATCTGTAAAATTTACACTTCTATCTGTTAAATTTACACTTTAATCTGTAAATTTTACACTTTAATCTGTAAAATTTACACTTTAGTCTGTACAATTTACACATTAATCTGTAAATTTTACACTTTAATCTGTAAATTTTACACTTTTATCTGTAATAAAAAAATTACATTGAATGAATTAAAACTTGGAGATTGAATAACGACAATATTTTCAACAATAAACTATAACAGAAAAAAAACAAATATCTACATGACAAAAAGACTTCCTGTTTTTCTTTCTTGTTTGTTACAAATTTATATTTTGGCATTTTGTTCAAAATGAAATATAACAGATATAACTCAGATTTCTATGTTTTAGAGCTTTATGCATATGGTGAATGTAAAGAAAAATCAAAGAAATCACAAGTGCCGTTTCAGTCATTTTATTATTATTCTTTTCATTTTGGGGTAAGTAAGAAAAAGGGATAGCATAAACGTTAAGTATAAAAAGCAAACATATATTTATAAGCTACATATTACACTGTTTATACATGCACATCAAATTGAAAGTATAAAATGAATTTTTTGTCCTGGAAGAATTATAATTTACAAAATATATTGTTACAGCTAAATTATTTTTAAAACTTATGCTGAATATTCACCTACATACCTCGGAATGAAATTTTAGGCAGTGGCAAAAACAAGATGAATATTAAGTATTAAAAATTTTGTTGATAACATTAGATTTTAAAAGATTTTAAGGCAATGAGACATTACCTTTAGAGCAACCCTCAGACTACGAACAATAGAACAGAACAAGTCAAACTAATTTTTTGTTACTTAAGCATCGATTATAGATGAAAAATACAATGAAAAATATAAAAACGGGTTATTTTTTAACATAACAGTATATATAATGTATTAAATATCAGCACTAAAATGCATTGTAAAATTAATAAAGAACAATAGAAAATAACGTTTTTACTTTGAAGTCTAACTATCCTGCGGTTGGTTAATCAAGTGATCCTGCACCCTCTAGTTCTTCATTTTGCTCAAGAAATTCGTTGTCATCAGGAGACGGGGTTTTCAGAATCTCCTTTTCATTATAAATGACCCTTTTTTCTGCATATGCAATGCTCGGTTCACTTTTTAAAAAATAACAAATAACAAAATTAGACTATTTAGACATTATATATACGTCAATATAGCAAGAAATACATTTCTATCTTTTCATAGACTACCGTAATTTACCTGAAAACTGCCGGATCAGCGTTAAAAATAATTCTATCATTGACATTTATCAATTTTACAAACGAAAAATGAGATGATGTTTTATCAGTATAATTTTTTCTCTTTCATTTCTTTAATTCAATCAGACTGAGAAAAAAAAACTTTCATATGAAGTGATTACGCTTCGTACACTTACCTAATATCTCCCAATCTGAAATCATAACAATAAATAGTTTTCAGCAATTGCACGCTTAATATAGCACTTGAGATTAAACGGTGCTGTGTGAAATAAAATGAAAGAACAAATTATATATTTTGGCTATGATTCGGGCCTATAGGAGAACTTTGTTGTATATATTTTGACTGATATCCAACTGTATATTAAAAGCAAAGAGCAATCACAAGCTTAAACCTTTTACAAGGCCACATTGCAGCCTGATCAGGGTTTTCTTTTAGCCTATTTTTCTTTTTTTTAATTCATTTAAAACATCATTTCGATTGCTATTATTCAACTTGTTTCCAACATCTTAAATACTTATGAATTTATTAGATGCATCATGTGTACAACTGTTTTATGTAAGTTTGCAATTTTTGTTATAATTTTTGCGAATTCAAAACCGACGATTTAGTCTAATATACATGTATTTGAAATATAAATATTTTTAAATAGTTAATAAAGAGAAAACAACTATAAATAAATAAAAATTATTAACTAATCAATGATTTACTTTGAGACAATGATGTCAACCATGATGCGAAATTCTCCCCTTAACCTGGTGCATCTATGTTGATCATGCCTAGATGAGCAATTGGATTCCATCTTTTCCCATAACGTCTGAAATTGGGCTACCTTCTCTTGTAGTTGTAAAAGTTGTGCTTTATAACTTTTCTTGAATTTCAGTATCTCTGTTTCCGATCTGTTCATCTGAAATCAACATTCAATTTTATATGTCGTGTATTATTTATGTATTTGATATAACATTTTTATACCTTTGTTCATGTACTATTCTCAAAGAAACATACCTTAATTTGATACTGTTGTGCAAGGTATCGCCTTTCTGCCTCTAGTCGAATGTTATAGATATTCCTAATGATATGTGTGGTCTGAATGATCTGTGCGTCCCAATACTGCTGTATTCTTGTTTTGTCAAACACCCACTCGTCATACATCTTCATTCCGATGGTCTGTAATTAAAAAAACAACATTGCCCTACCTTTTTCTCCGTCTTTTTTTCAATAATAACATCTTAAATATTTATTCAATATAAAAATGATTATGTTTTTTTTTTAGTTTTAGTGAAGTGATTCTTCATGTCTTTATAAGAAAGAAACAAAATGACACAGACTACATACCTTATTGTGTGTTGTTTGGAAGAATGTTCGTTCTGCATTGCACATGGCTAGACGACTGTGGGCAGTTTTTAAATTCCACTCTTTCGTATTTGAAAAAGTTACATTCCACTATAAAAGAGGGTCATATAACTTAAAATCATTTAATAGTTAATATAGAAACAAAATTTATTTGATTACTCGGTTACTGCATATTTAATAATAAAAGATTATGATCATAAACCTCTTTCATTTGGCTAACTGTGGAGGATAATTTTTCATTACTCTCTGACAGTATGGCGACCTTCTCTTCTAATGACTTTATTCTGCTATTTTTAATTTCCAGTGCCCTTTTATATCTAAAAAGAAAAGTAAATTCATTTTATTATGAAATTGAAAATAAACGCATTAGATTCTACAGCATGTTGTTTTTATCATATGTAAAACATGGATAAAAGTGTAGAATTATAAAATCAATCTTTTAAAGTTTTTCGAGAATAAAATACGCCTAGGTAATATCTGCATTTGAATTTTCTTTTATCTATTTGTGCTGAATGCTTAAATCAGAAAAAATGTATTAGAAACAAACCTAATTTCATTTCTTTCAAGTTCATCGATTCGTTCGCGTTCTTTGCTGCAAACTATTGAGATATCGGTGAATTTGTCTATCATATCGTCCCACTGCAGCTGATATTGTGATCTTATCCTTTCCTCTAGACTGACCTCCTGTTTTGTAAATTTATCAACCGTTGTTTTCAACGAAAAAATCCTTTCATGGAGTTCCTGTATTCTTGGGTGATAATACGATACGTTTCGGATCAGAATCTCAAGGTCCTCTCGTAATTGATAGATGTCTTCGAGCTCTAGGATGTCGCCTTCATCAATTGTTGACATACCACCAAAAATCAGCAGAAGTGATCGAACATTGAAATCAATGTCAGCATAAATGTGCGACTGTGGAACACAGGGTACCGGGCAGCTCTCCATGTTGATATACCTGGAATTGCTGTTAGAGCTTACATCTTGGGTTTATATATACATGTCAGCCGCAGTGTGCAAAAATTCTGAGAAGCTAATGAACGTCATCATTATTATTCACAGTTTCTCGGAAGTTCAGAAGTTATGACTATATTCATTGCTTCGTCTAAGCGAAAATGCAGAGCGTATATTCTGATCAAATAAGAAAACAGCTATTAAGGGTACTTACCACAAACAAAAAATGGATGCGCGGGTTGATATATATTTTTGACTGATTTTGATTTGTATTGATATAAATAATTAATCCCTGAAATATAAAGAAATCGTAGGTTTTCCTTGGTGCTTACATTTGATATTTTATTTTGCCTTCTATATATAATTCTATTCAAAATTTTCCTCAATTTTTTAACTTTATGGCAAAATATAATAAAATTCTCCCACTCTACTTGGTAAACATTATTCAGGTTGTCAATTTAAATGTAAATCTATGAGAAATAATGCTGATTTCTGAAAATAGTTTGTTTGTGTTATTTATCCTTAAGCTTCATTCTAAATAATCTTTCAGAAAAACCAGAAGTCTTTGATCAGGCTGTAGCTCTTCTGGTTTGTATTTGTTACAAAGGAAAAGAAACACTTGCACTTAAGGTTATGCTTCAGGAAAAATTGTAATTTAGATTTAATTGATTTAAAGATTTATTGCAATCAGATTAAAACTGCTTGAGAAGAAGTCTTTTGAAAAAGTTTTCTAAAAATTGATTATAAGAAACCAAGGTAAGACTGCTCAAAGAAATCAAAAAATGATATAAAATTTTGCATCTCTTTTTAGTCTACTTGTGTGCATATTTATAATGAAATCAGATCCAAACAGTAGGGATGATATCATTATTAAGTGTTTTACAATTATTTTTATTTGTGTTTAATAATCTTGGCAATATCATAATTCAATAAATCAATAAAACAATACAAAAAATTTTCTGAGTTTGAAATATTGTTATTTTCTTCAGTTATATTAATTTAAAGGTAAGTAATATATATTTCTTAGGTACCAGTTGACAGTATTATAACCAAAATATATTATACGTAAGCACATTGTGGCTAAAAACCACTGCATGTGATCTGAAGTGGATTTTCACAGAAAAGAACAACGATAACAAGATAAATGTTGGTCATTGTTATGTAATTTCATGTCTCCACAAACAGGATGCTGATATGAGATAAATGAAAGGCAAGCATTTTATAACATTAACTGGACGTCAAACATCTTATACTAAAACAATAATAGTTGCTGAATTGCAAAAAATTAGATAAGTTGTAAGAGAGAGTCACGTTAACTTTTTATTGTTCAGTTTTCCGTTCCAATAAAACATAACTAGTGAAGACTATTTATTAATCATAATTTACTGAAAAAAGAAAGACTGTGATCTTAGAACAGTAATTATTTCGTTAAAATAGTTCTCTTGTTAAACGTTTTCTATATAACTAATATAATTATATGAACTTTATTGTATGATGAATTTCATACATGTGATTCAACCTTTGTCTTTTCTAGTAAAAAAAACGTTAAATTCATTTTTTGGTTGTATCAACGAATTAAAAAAAATGTGTGTAAAAGTTTTTACTTACAGGATAAAGTGACTTATGTTTGCTTTATTTAGTTATGTCATACTATTTCTTGAATTATGAAAATGAATACGTATTTCAAATTTTTAAAAATAATTTTTCGGTATGAAAACAGGGAGGAGGGAGACACTGCTTTCCCATTTAATCCCCAGAAGACCGACGGGCATATAATGAGAAATCACAGGCCTTATATCCAGTGGGGACCATCAAAAATTAACCACCCCTCTCCCAACGTCCTATTCGAGGCCGTAAACACATTGATTTCTTTCTCAGAGATGCTAAATTTAATGTAATTTAATACTATATTTGATGTATTTAAAGTACCAGCAAGATTAGAAAAAAGGAACCATAATTGTGATGTAAGACGAAAGAAATTGATACTGCAGTACGAATTCAGAATGTGCTCAAACAACCCTATACTTCTATTCCGTGTAACCGCTTTAAATAGAGTCATAATAAGCAGCAGAGTAGTGAAAACTATAAAAACTGAACGAAGTTTCATAAACACATGTCTAAAGATATAACATTTAAAAAACAAAAACAGATTATCAGAAGAAGACATTGATGTACATGTCTTAACCAAAGTCGATTAATCAAGTATTTACCATGCCATGAAATTTTTGGGTTTATACCACGCAAAAATGGTAAAGATAAGTTAAATATCATCCTTATTTTGCAGATATACGTGTACGGTAAATACTTTATGGAATGTAATAATCACCTTCCTTTGGAAAGAACCATCTTTCGCTCAATGAAAGATGACAGTGACGTCTACGAACCAGAGCTGTTGCTTTAAACATTTAAAGGGCGGAGTCACATGTCCAAAGACACGGGCACAGGCTACTATATGTACATGGCATAAATATTGTAATTTTTGAAACTTAAGCTTTAATCTGTCAGGAGTATTTATTGCCCTTATGCTTTTACGTAATTAATTGTGCTTCCTTTTCAAGTGTTTAAATATTCTGTTTGATAATGTAATATTTTTGTTAACATATTGATCTCTTGCAGTCAATACTTTTACGAACGATGTCCAATATGCATACAGGGGAAATGAAATAATACATTATCCGTAGGTCTATACTAGTATACAAATGTTATATTGATGGTGCCTACAAGGTAACATATATCTGTATTAACTGAAATTTAAATATGGACTTCAATCTTTGTTTCAAAATACATATGAATATATAATTTAGAACTCCTCAAATATGACATATATATTATTTCTAAATATGCTTTTATGTCGAAATTATGAATTTTCTCAGATCCTTTTTTTCTTTGTATTTGATTAACATTGTTCAAATAGCGTACAGAGAAGGATTTTATTCCTGCTCAGTATGTATAAGAATATTTAACCTGCATGCTGTTTTCATATCCTTAAATAAATATTGTGTAGATATTGTATCTTATACTTTTTATGCCCCCGTAAACGAAGTTTCGGGGGTATATAGTTTTTGTCATGTCCGTCTGTCTGTCTCTCTGTTTGTCTGTTTGTCCGCAAAAACTTTAACCTTGCCCATAACTTTTGATTTAGTTGAGCTATGACTTTTATATTTCACATGTGTATACCTTGTGACAAGACCTTTCTTTGGGTACCACCAACTTTGACCTTTTGACCTTGACCTTGGAGTTTGACCCACTTTTACATTTAAACTTTTTTAAAATTCGTTTAAACTTAAACTTTAAACTTTTACTTTGGCCACATCTTTTGAATAGTAGATACCAGGACGTTTATATTTTACATATGTAATTTTTGTTGGAAGACCTTTCATTGGACTCCAACAACCTTGACCCTTTGACCTTGACCTTGTAAATTTCCGTACTTGTGAAAAAACTTTAACCTTGGCCATAACTTTTGAAGCATAAGGGATAGGGCTTTCATACTTCATATATGTAATCCTTGTGAGAAGACCCTTCATTGGATACCAAGAACTTTGACCCTTTGACCTTGACCTTTGAGATTGACCTACTTTAAATAAGCAAACCTTGACCATAACTTTTAAAGAGTTAGGGCTAGTGCTTTCATACTTTACGTATTTAATTCTTGTGGCAAGACCTTTCATTTCATAACAAGAACTTTGACCTTGACCTTGGAGTTTCACCTCCTTTTTTAAAAAATTGAACCTTTGCCATAACTTCTGAACTTTTAGGGCTATCATGCTCTACATAAGTATTTTATGTGGCAAGACCTCTCATTTGATACCAAATTACATTGACCTTTTGACCTTGACCTTGGAAATTTTTGTACTTATTGAAAAAAAACTTCAACATTGGCTTACTTTCAAATTTCACAATTGTTTTCCAGTGAGAATACCCTACTTTTGGTACCATTTAATCAAATTTTCATTTAAGAAAAGTTTAATCTTTAATATGTTGCCATACGGGGGTATCAGTGTTTCACAAACACATCTTTTTTAATATTTGTATCGTTTATGTATACGCTTTATTATGAAATTAACATAATAATACATTAATTTTTATGGTACATGTACGAGTTAGGGCCTGGTAAACTTATAAAGAATTGTGTACGTATGATTACGCTTTGATTTTCTTTATCCTTGCAATAAAGATAATCTGTAACATTTATAAAACCTGAAGCGTGTAAATGTATCACAAATAATAAAGAATCTATTGTCTAAAAACAAAGCCTAGAAAATTGAAAACTATATCGTTTTTTTAATTCTACTATCTTAACTCCTGCAAGGCAGTTACTATAAATGATTTGCCATTCTTGTGTTCAACGTTAACAAATTTTCAGTGAAATTCCATTCCTTTGTTAATAATGTTTCTTAGAAATCTTTAGATCGATACAAGATCTACATTTTAAAACTGAATTTTTGTACTGGCCCCATAAGATCAAGTGGTTAAAGTCCAATTTGGAGTGCTAGAATAATATATTGAATATCTATACGTATCTAAAGTCAATTCTATATTTTACTTTTAAGTCAATTTATTCAAGATAATTTATTGACATATTTCAATAATCTTTCATTGTTTTGGACGAATCATCATTTTCGCCGACTTCAGGGACCACCAAGTGTTCCCCCAGTCTGCCCAAGACAACGCACTGGCGTCATTCTTTGATTCCTTCCTGTATACACCATTAAGATTAGTGCGAAAACAATTACTACCAAACCACCCTGCTGTCGTGTACACTGTAGAACAATTACCAGAATAACTGTCGTTGTCTTTGTCCTTGGTACTAAACTTCATCTTGGTATAACGGCCAAAGCTATCACCTGAAAACACGTGATTAGTATTAAACTCTCTCTCTCTCTCTCTCTCTCTCTCTCTCTCTCTCTCTCTCTCTCTCTCTTGCATAGAGAAAGAGAGAGAGAGAGTCTCAGACAGACAGAAAATGTGAGAGTTAATTACGAATTGCATATATGTTTCAAAAAATCATTTCTGTATGATAACATTTATCCAGTATCTGAAAAAAAACATATCCAACGTGTGGTTAAATCCTTACCAAGACCTTTGGTTCCCTTGAATCCCCCTACTGTTATTTTATACATTTCAGCCTCGTTCTCGATGTAAAATGTGGAGTAAGTTGCGTGTGCCTTTTGTCGAGAGAATCTCCCCAAATCTATTCTTAGCTCTTGTTTCTTGTCTTTTGTCAGAGTGTGAATTGCATCATTTCCTAAACATAGAAAAATTTTCTAGAAATACCACAAAATGATTAAAGTAATCTGTTTCGTAAATGTTGATATAATTACCTATCCAATACTCATTGTCTGCGTTTCCAAATCCATTTTTGTAGTCCGTCCAGTTTCTGTAGAAGTCAGTTACGCCATCTTGTCGTCTTTGTATCACCTTAATTAAAGATATTCCAAACATAACCTTATTGATTAGGAATATTCACAAAGTATATTTTCTTTTAAAAAGCTTTACACTAAAATAATGCGCTAAAATTTAAAATAAGGCTTAAATGTTGCTTAGCTACAGATTTAAAGCTCATATTTTCTGAAATTTCCCGTAATTCTTTAATATTTTCAAATGTATAAAATAAAGTATTTTTAATTATATCTTCGTGCGAGGTGCCATATGAAAACATAAATCATGATATTATACAGAAAATTGGAGAAAATATTAACTTGAACTCTGTGTCTAAGCATCTTCAAAAAGTACTAGAAATACTGTGAGCACTGAGCACACGAAATGATAGCACCGCTTCCGATATGGTTAAAATGACAAATTTGGAGGTCACAATGACACGACATATACCTGTCTAATTTAAAGATTCTGTTAAAGTATCGGATAAAAGATGTGTATCCCTCAATAATATAGAAAGAATGACAGTGTTAATTAAGGTTTTACTACGGAAAACCACTTAATATGTGTCCAATCAAAAAGAAAAATAGAAGCTATTCAATGTTGCTATGTAATAATTAATAAAAACAAAGTGTCATTGAATTTCATTCAGTGGTAAAACTTGAGATGCTGCTAAGAGATGGGTACCCAAAAGTGTAAAGGACAGACGGACTGACAGACACCCCACTTACTATGAACTCTCTGCTTTTCAAGCGGGGTATAAAAAATGAACATTTTTTTGTATTTACGAAATGGGAACCTTTTAGAATTCAAAGAATTTAAAACTAATTTTAACATTTTTTAATTAACTTTCTATCTGCTGCCGCCCCGTGGGGATCCGGGTTAGAATAGGTCCTCAGTACCCCCTTGCTTGTCGTAAAAGGCGACTAAATGGGGCGGTCCTTCGGATGAGACCGTATAAACCGAGGCCCCGTGTCACAGCAGGTGTGGCACGATAAAGATCCCTCCCTGCTCAAAGGCCGCAAGTGCCAATCATAGGCCTAAATTTGCAGCACTTCACCGGCAATGGTGACGTCTCCATATCAGTGAAATATTCTGGAGAGGGACGTAAAACAGTATACAATCAATCAATCTATCTGCTGCCTCTAAAACAAATTTCATTCAATCTGAAACTTTAATAAGAATTGTTGTTCTTTGCCAATTAAGTGTTATAGTTTAAAAAGCGAGTACATGTACTTCTACATGTAGATATTCTGTTAAAATATAGTTCTAAAGAAATAAATTTCCATTTTCTTCAAGTTCCTTCGAAGATTCTTTACTGAGTTGTATTTAATTATAATAACTAATTGAATTTTTTTAAATGCCTACAGGAAGGAAAAAACGCCAAATATTAAATATTTAAAATGTAGATATTCTGTAATATACATCAGCGCTTGTTGTCATCGTTACTGTATCAGTATGTGTTGCCATAGTTACCGTCCATCCGCCTCCGTTCGTCGTCATGTCACAGTACACCGACTTCTTTGTCTTCATGCCGAGATAAATCGTGTACACACCATCTTTACTCAGAGGTCTGTGTTTGAGAATATCAGCACAGTCTTTGTACTTTTCTTTGATATCTAAGCAAAAAGAGAAATTAAAAAAATTCATTCATTAAAAATAATCTTAGGTAGAAAGTGCATAAAGATCCATTGAGCCAAAACTATTTTAATATATCGGTAGAAACTTACGTGATTTAAGAAACACCTGTCCATCCTTTAGTTTATAACTTGACTTCAGATCTAGAATCATAGGTCCATGTATGGAGATGACCGTATTCTTGTGATCCCATTTAGTCTTCCTCAGCATGGCTTTGATTTCGTCTGCGAAAAATTAAATATAGTATAGATTTTGAGTGATTTCCCAAAACATCTCAAAAATTCAAACCTGTATACTTCATGCATTAACATCTTTTTCTTTCTATTTGATGGAGCCCCATCCCAATCCGAACAAATGAATTTCCTCTCAGTTTTTATGCTTTGTCTCTTTTTTTTTTTTTTTTTTTTTTTTTGTTCAAATATTTCAAATATTTTGACATCTGTTATTAATTGCCAATGGACTTAATTTATGCTTATTTAATTCATTCTTCCGTATTCTATATTATGACTCTAGCATTGGTACTAACTGTGTATTCTCTATAAGTACTGATAAGGAGTATCAAATTAAAACAAACCAACTTCTTAATTAATAGAGAATTTATTTATTCTGTATTGAGAAATAGATGGCTCCTTTATCCCCCCCCCCTTTTCCCCTAAAATGAATATATCAAATTCTGTTTATACTGGGCTCTTTTTTTTTAAGTCTTTGCACTTTTATTTTTGTTCATTATATAAGGAATCATAATGAAATAAATAAAGAGAGAATAGGGTGAAACATTATCCCATTGTGGGTCCAGGCAAATTTGCCTTATGCACAATTTGACCTGAAACCGTTAGATAGAAAATGAAAGTACAATATCAAATTTCTCCCTGACGGCTCTAAACCGTGTGGAATTCGGTAATCAAGGTGATGTAGGATTTTATACAATCTATAATTGATTTTATTAAGTTAAAAAATGTCTAAAAACTCTGTCGATTTAACGTTCGTTTGCGGATCATCACAATCCAGCGAATTTCCAAAAAGCACGTCTGATTGGAATAGTCATTTCATTGACAAGCTAGGAGTGAGATGTAAACAATGTGACATCTTTGAAATTATTATAAACCATTGGCGTTTATTTACTTTATTCGAGGAAGATTACCTTGAAATTGAAAGTTGTTTGAAAGCTTGTGATTTTGAAACTGATTACGGATGTTTAGAAGATATATCTGTGGAAAAAGCTTTCGCGCCAGAATTTCAATGGAAATTGCGCTCCCAGTCACAGGAGAACGAAATCTTAAGAGAGCCTTTAGTTTCAAAATGGTAAGTATGATAAAATTCCAGGGGAAATAAGGCGGTGAAAATATTGAACATATTTAATTATACGGCTGTTCTTCATTACAGGAATATTCTAAAAACTGTAAAATAGATTTTCTATTCACACCTAAACAGGTCCAGTCCAAAGACTATTTCTACCTACGTAGGTATTAATAGCTACCTAGGTATTTAAAGCTACCCAAAGTAGCTATTTTTACCTACTTTCTACTTTACTTGCATTTTGTGGCCAAATGCAGGAACGGCGCAACACGGTGAGCACAAAGTTTCTTAATACAGTCACACTGATGATGAATATGACAAAAATTTGTCCAAAAAATGAAAACTTCGTATCTTATCAATTTTGCATGGAAACTAATGTAAAATTACCGATTCAGGAAGTAATCATTTTTTGGCCAAAATTTTGTCGTATTCATCTTTAGTGTGACCGTATCAAAACATATGGTATTCACCATGTTGCGCCGTTTAGTCTTTTGATCTCAAATTGCAGAAATTATATAAAGTAGGTAAAAATAGCTACTTTTGGTAGCTTTAAATACCTAGGTAGCTATTAATAGCTACGTAGGTAGAAATAGTCTTTGGACTGGACCTGCTAAAGAAGTGAAAATAGGAATATCAAGCTTGAAATCTGGAAAAAGCTCTGGTTTAGATCTTATTCCAAATGAATTTATTAAAATAAGTTCTAATATTTTTCTGCCTGTACTGGTTAAACTCTTCAGAATGGCAGAATGCCAGAATTATGGAACCTCTCATTAATCACAACTTTGTATAAATCTGGAGATCCAGAAAATTGCAATAATTATAGAGGATTAAGTGTAACAAGTTGTCTTGGTAAACTTTTTAATAGACTCCTTCAAACTCGACTTAATAATTATTTAAAATCAGAAGGGTTGTTAAGTCATTTTCAGGCAGGATTTAGGAAAGGATATCGTACAACAGATAATATTTTCATCCTCAAAACTTTGATGAACAAGTACCTGTTTAATAAAAAGAAGGAATTATTTTTGTGCTTTGTTGATTTTTCCAAAGCTTTTGATACTGTATATAGACCAGCTCTTATGTATAAGATTTTTAAAAAAGGTATTGGTGGAAATTTTTTCAATATTATAAAACATGTACTCTACTACAAAATGTGCTGTAAGACAGGGAAATTATTATAGTGAGTTTTTTGAAACTACATTAGGAGTTAAACAAGGGGACAATTTAAGTCCTACTTTATTTAATATTTTTGTTGACGACTTTGAAAATTATTTTGATAAAGTTATGACCTACCCTGTATGTTTAGGTGATTTAACTTTTAATCACTTATTTTTTGCTGATGATCTTGTTTTATTATCAGAGTCAGCTGAAGGCCTCCAAAGTTGTATAGATAGTCTTTCAAGATATTGTATAGAATGGAAGTTGCATGTAAACTTAGAAAAAACAAAGGTTATGATTTGCTCTACAAGAAAAATAAAGAAATATTATGCATTTTATCATAACAATAATAATATAAAGAAATTTGGATCTCTGATTTTAATACAAATCCCAATAATTTTGATAAAACTCCTTTTGAAAAAATCCAAAATTTTATCTTAAAAAACATCTTAGGTGTCCATAATAAAGCATCAAACTTAGCAACTAAAATTGAATTAGGTGTTTTCCCTGTACATACCAAAATTTACCAGCTTGCTTTTAAATATTATTCCAGATTGGAAAAATTAACAAAAACAAATAATAATTGCAATGTCTTACTCAAGAATGCTTACTTGGAAGATACTCGATTGGCCAGTGAAAATAAAAAATGTTGGCAAAGTTGTGTAAAATCAATACAGAAGATGTTGGGTTTTAACTTTGACACAGATTTTAAAACTTTTAGTCCTAAACTTGAAAATTTCTTTGAAAATAAATTTTTTT